TCCTCTGCTTTTGAAGAGGACTCCGCGTTTGGGCACTGTTTTGAAGAGCTGCGCAGGCTCTCGGCTGAGCCGTCCTGGAACCTCATTCTCCCGGTTGTCGGGAAGAACGTGTCCAGGAGCTGGTGGCCGTCTGCGGTCGGTGAAAGCCGAGGAAGCACCTGCTTCTAGCGGGGAGGCGCTTTGCGGAGAGCCCTGCCCTCCCCGCTCGGTCTGGAGGGTAGCGGCTAACCAGAAGTTAGGCTTGGTCTGCCACCCTCCCGAGAAAGAGGGTTGGGGGTTCATCGGGTGGCTTTTTTCCCTCGGAGATCAGTAGTAGCGGAAACTGAACGGGTGTCGAGGCAAGTCACTTCTGTTTTCAGTTTCTCGTGATGTGACTCTTGTAATCTGCCCGAGGAACGCTGAGTGGCTGGAATAGTTGTGTCTGGTTAGTTAGTTAGTGTTACCTTGGCGTGGGCGCTTTAACTGCATTCGTATTGTAGTATCCCAAGGTGGAAAAAAATAGGCTCACAAGTAGACTTCCTTCATCACTTCCAACAGAAACACAAAAATAAATGGTTCAATGATACTTGAAATTCACTGAAGATACTTCATGATGATCTGCTGCTACCGTTTATATTTGTCAAAGGCTACTGCCACATAAAATCAAACCTTTTGCCCTAGAAATTGGAATGAGTCAGGCAGCGCTGAAGACAGGATGACTAAGAGGCTGTGGCGGCTCTACTTTTTGTAGATTCAGCAGAACTGGTTGTACTGCAGAATGATGCTACCCCTGCTTCCGAACTTTCCATGGCCCCTCGTTTCTGAAGGCTTGTGAAATCCTTTTCTAATTTTCGCATGCCTTACACTGGAATATATATTTGATGGGCTCAAGTAGTGAGGAGGTCACGTCTCCGGATGCTGTCTGATCAGCAAATTGAAACAACCCTGATAATCAACAGATACTTCTAAAAATGTTCTTCTCTGAACCCTTGTCTTGTGTATTCACTCATTTACACTAGGCATGACTCCATTCCTGTTGTGTACACTGAGCTGATGCTTCATGCCCCAGGAGAGCAGTATCTGCTTTTATCTAGAAACTTCAAAGCTTCCTTTCAAGCTTTATGTGGTGTTTGTAAGAGTTGTGAGGTGTAAGTTTTGCTTTGTTTTGTTATTTTGTCTCACCAAATCTTGCATCATGTAGTCTCCTGTGATTTCTTCACTTCCTGCAATCCCAGTTCTCTGGCAGGATTGCGTGAACAGTGTTTCATTGAGAATCAGTGTAGTCTTATAAATTCTTAAAAGAACTGTTGAAAGACAAAAGATTGACGCTTGTTTTATGGAAGATCCATTGTTCTTCATTCCAAATACTAACAAACAAGAACAAACTTCCTAGAGGAGTGATCTTCCAAAGACGACAAGAAAAAAGACTTCCTACATTCCCCAGGTATTCAAAACAGGGAGCTTAGAAGGCATGACTTACATAACGAGGGGCCATACGGAAGCTTTTTTCCTGTCTCTGCTTTTTTTTAATCTCTGGATTAAAAAAAAAAGACAGCAAACCAACCCCTGCAAAAAAACTTAAAAGACAATCTAAAACGATGCGTTAAACCCGGTGCTGCAGATGTCGCAAAGCTTGCCTAGTCCTTCCTGCTAGAAGACTGGCTTGTCAAAATTACAGTTACTTCCAATGAGACAACGTGTCCTATGTCAATATTCCTGCAAATTGTGGGGTGTCCTAGAGGAACTGTAGCCGTTGTTCTTGGACTGTAACTCTTATGAGCAGTACGTGATAGATGCAGAAGGTTAAGAGGGATGTTTGTATGTCTGGCAGGTGCCAGGTTCTGTCTCGCCTTGAATTCATTTGTTATGAAAGCTATTTAGGCATTAAAGGAAACCAAGAACCAAAAGCTTAAAGGAACATCATTATTTGGTAAAGACAAAATCTCTGAGGAGTTTTAATGTGGAAGCAAAGCTTAACAAGAGCTAAGGCTGCTAAAAATACTTCCATGGTTTCCGTTTAAGTTCCAGACGAGTAGTGTGGAAAACATCTTAACTCTTTAGGATACTGCTTCAGCAGAATTTCTGTCATATCATCTCTACTTTATATTCAAGCTGCATTAAATAAAAAAAAGGTAAAGATAATGCAAGGCGAGGTATAAACTTGATTTTTTTGACTTTCAACTTGTAATGGACTTGAGTATTTATCTAGCATAAAACGTAACATCAGCTTAAACACACACTTTATATTATTACTTTAGACCCTTCTAACTTGCATTCTGGAAAACAAAAAAGTTCTCACTTGTTTTTTTTTTTCTTGCTGCTTTTCCTTAGGTGTGCCAAAATGTCAGAAAGGTCAGATATTCTTCACTTCAAGTTTGACAATTATGGGGATTCGATGTTACAGAAAATGAACAAACTGAGGGAAGAAAACAAATTTTGTGATGTCGTGGTCCATATAGATGACGTTGAAGTTCATGGACATAAAATTGTATTTGCTGCTGGCTCTCCCTTTTTAAGAGATCAGTTCTTACTAAATGACTCCAGAGATGTAAAAATCTCTATACTGCAGAGTTCGGAAGTGGGGAGGCAGCTGCTTCTATCCTGTTACAGTGGCATTCTGGAGTTTCCTGAAATGGAACTGGTAAACTACTTGACGGCCGCGAGCTTTCTGCAGATGAGCCACATTGTTGAACGATGTACGCAGGCCCTCTGGAAGTTTATAAAACCGAAGCAGCCGTTGGAGAGCAAGGAGTGTGAACAGCAAAGTGACTCCTCTGAGCTGAAGGACCATCAAGGAGATGATGACTCTCTGCAGCAAGATTCGCCTTGTATTCAACCTTCAGAAGACAGTATGGACATGGAGGATAGTGATATTCAGATCATCAAGGTGGAGTCCATTGGGGAGGTAACAGAAGTTAGGAATAAGAAGGATCAGAACCAGTTTATTTCTTCTGAACAAACTGCACTGCATTCCTCAGAGCCTCAACACTTTCTTATCAACTCCACTGTTGAAAACAGAGCAAGTGAAATGGAGCAAAACCACCTCCACAACTATGCCCTTTCATATGCTGGCAGCGATAACATCATTCTGGCCTCTAAAGATATGTTTGGGCCTAACAACCGAGGTATAGACAAAGGCCTCCAGTGGCACCATCAGTGTCCAAAGTGCACAAGAGTATTTCGGCATCTGGAAAACTATGCTAATCACTTAAAGATGCATAAACTATTTATGTGTCTGCTCTGTGGCAAGACATTCACTCAGAAAGGCAATCTCCACCGGCACATGAGAGTGCACGCAGGCATCAAACCGTTCCAATGTAAGATCTGTGGGAAAACGTTCTCTCAGAAATGTTCCTTACAGGACCATCTCAACCTGCACAGTGGGGACAAGCCCCATAAGTGTAACTACTGTGACATGGTTTTTGCGCATAAACCCGTTCTGAGGAAACATCTTAAACAGCTACACGGTAAAAATAGCTTTGACAATGCCAATGAAAGAAACGTTCAAGACATAACAGTGGACTTCGATTCATTCACATGTAGCGCTGCTACAGACAGTAAGGTCTGTCAGCAAGCTGATGCAAGCCAGGTACTGGATGCAGGGAAGCTGCCTCAGGCTGTGCTCAGTTTAAGAAATGATAGTACCTGTGTCAATTAAGCAATTAAAAACAGCCGTTTGTAGGGATCGTGACTGAGAGGAGCAAAGAGCTGGTTTGGGCTTTTACCTAAACTGGTGGTATGCCCTGAAAGGCGATGGATAGATGGATGGATGGCGGGTTGGATTGCAAAACCTGGCAGGTCTTCAGCCATCGTTCTTAGTCTTACTTGATATTTTCTGTGAATAGCAATCTTCCTTCAGGTTTCTGTCTGTGTCTCTACTGTGGATTATGGGGTTAATTGTTTAATTTCTCTCTGATTAGGAGACTCAAGACTAACACCTTTTGAAAGACTGTTGCTGTGGGCTGCAAGTAAACCATCTGCTGTACAGTTAGAGGCCTCTCTGTGTCTGGGCAGATGGAGGAAAGAGCAAAGAGGACAAGTCTGTGAGATAACCCGATTATTTTTTTTTTTTTTAAAGCACTGGATAACTGAAAGCACTCCATATAGTTAAATTTAAACTTACCTCTTAAAATTATCTTTCTCTGATCTTACCCCTAGACCCCTACAGTTGAAATGAAGTATTTTTGTGTCACTTTTTTTGCCCTGTCTAAACTATTTCAAGAAACTTCTGCTGCCAATCAACGCTATCTTAAAAGCTCTCAGGGTTTTTAACCTCGACATGCATTATGAAAAGATAAAACCCTAAATGATTTGGCAGGGTTAGCTGATCGTTGCATAGAACTGTTCAAAATGAGAATAAATTGCAGCTCTGGAATGTGAGAGGCCGGTGCCTGGAGTGCAAGTATGACCTATTTCTTATGCTGTCATACCTAGGATTTTTAAAGGGCACTTACCAGTGTATGTACTGAGACAAGCTAAACACTTCAAAACTAAAAATTATCATCCATCTTCCGTAAATTTTGCATCACATAAGCCACAACAGTTGTTAGTTTTAGAGCAAAGCTGGAGTGGAGAAATACTGCTTTTTGACACTGTGAAAAGAATCTGTTTTAAAAGCTGCAACGTGTAACAACTCCATGCTTTTCCTCCCCGCCCCCCCCCACATGTCAGTTCACTTGAAAAAAGAAACAAAAATACCTGCCATAAGAACATTAACGACATAAAGTTTTTTTGATTTCTTGGACACTCGAAGAATACTTTTTTTTAAGTGATCTGAATAGTTCATGACCATTAGTGTTTTATAGAGCCTAGGATGAGGTATAGGTAGCACAATTTCTGTAGGTTAATATATCAGCTATTGACTGTACTCAGCAATACCTCTTGTATACCGCCTTAAACATCAAATGTAGTGGGAATGGCATGTTAATTGGGATTCTGGGATTATGCCGTATTGCTTCTCAAAAGTGCCGTGGAATTATCCGCATCCCAATCAGGCTGAAAGAAGCTAATTTATCTGAGGAACACCATTACCGGTAGAACAGCACTCTTATTACATTGAAGTGTAGCATAGACTAATAATCACATGGCTGATCCTCGGTAGAGAACTGCTGTTTGTGTTTGGAATAAGTATTTCTTCCATTGCAGCTCTTTTCCACAAGGTTTGCCATGAGGCTGAGATGATGCTTCCTACCTAAAGTAGTACTGTTTGTGTGTTTGAATGAGGGGGTGGGGGTGAAAGGCTGCTATTGTGTGGTTAAAAATGCTAAACAGGTATGACCAAAGGTGTGTTAGAGCAAAAAATGTTTTGTATGTATTATCAAAAGTTGGTCTTGATCTTCAGATATGTGTGTGTAGAAGCCAGGATTTCCTTATGCAGACGTTACACTGATGGACGATAAAAAGCGTTAATCTTGCAGAACGTTTTCAGAAATCCACATACTTTCAAGTAGAAAAGCAAGGTGATTCTGTGAATCAGTTTTTGCAATTGAGTTTTTAAACTACTGTACTTGACTGTTTCATGAACAATTACATGGACAGCTATGAAGTAAGCAATGGAAATGGAGTCAGGGCATTACATCTTTCAAGTTGTAGCAAATATATTTAGGCCTAAAATCTAACTACTTGGAACTTTTTAAAATTACTGTTCAGGTTCCTGGGGCAGAAAATAGGTTTGCATGGGAAGAAAAACTGGTTTTCCTCTTAAAGCAACCTGCTTTCAGAATCGTTTTGAGCTAAAACTGACCGTGACAGTTGCATCTGACACTTGCATCCTGTCTTCAGGCAGAATCTTCTGTATTGTTCAAACATTTTGATAATATATTCACTATATTGAAATAAGTTATAGCGCTAACATAAAAACGAAGACAGACATGGAGAATAAGAGCTTGCAGAGCCAGGTCAACATGCTGTAAGGGACCAGTGAACAATCTAACCAGATATGAATATGGACACGATAAAGAAAATGGTCTTCTGCCAGAGAAAGGAATAAAACTGTACAAATGCTAGAAAAAGTGGCAGCAAAATGGACAGTATTGAAAGCTTTGTCTGTCTGGGAAGTTTTTTTTCGTGGAATCATGAAGCTGTAATGTTACTGCAAGGAGAATACAACTGCTTGAAGTAGCTGTGGGTGACCTGAAGCCGATAAGAAGAGACAAGGGGTTTCCTAAGAAACAAAAAATGATTTGGTCAAGATATATAGGTTTTAAATTCACCCTGCGCTGTGGTGGTGTCAACGTCTGAGAAGGCTGAGACTGCTGGCCGTTCAGTTAAAGGGCTGTTTGTGGTCATTTGGTGAGACCATGCCAGAAATAAATAGGAAAAAGAAGAGATGCAGAAGACTGCTTCTTCCATGAAAATGGACGCATTTGTTGGATGAAAAGTGACTTCTTACTAACGTCTGTGCTTTTGGCCTGGCAAAAGGGTGCAGACCAAAAGATTTATGCAGGAGACAGCTGCGTGACTCCAGAAACACTGGAGATCTAAGAGGGCAATATGCTGATGGCACGGTGCAAAGTGCACTGGTGGTAGAGTTCATCTAAGATTTGCCCCTATGTGGAACAGACAAGTGGAGAGTAGAGAAGAGGTATTAGACAAGAAAAATCCGGCTAATGCTTCTTCTCTGAATTACAGATTAAAATGGAGTGAGAATTATTATAAATGGAATATACAGAGGCAGCTGGATTATAGAATAAGATGAACTTAATTGTCCGTGTATGTAAAATGTTGTCTTCATTGCAATGTTCCGATTAGTGAAAGACTAGATCCATTGGTTGTTGCTACTGATGCTGCATATTCAGATGAGGACTATGGCAGTTATCATAATCTGTGTGTTAATGTGTAGAATACTATTTGCCGGTAAGTGGATAGTCTCACAACTTAATGTGCTGTACAACTTCCTGCATATCCTAAAAATAACTGAAGTCTATTACAAAAATATTTTAATAACTCCATGAATATATTAGGATTTTTTTTATGTTGGTATTTTATTTATTTTTTTTTTTTTATATAGAAGAAAATCCCAGAGGTTTAGGCTCACCACTTTTCTGAGTGGTGGTAGCTTGTGTAGCATGTGTTCCTGCAGCATATGGTGCGGCTGCACGACCTCCTGTATAGATCAGGGATGAGTCTTTCCTTAATTTATTTTTCTTTTAGAAGACATGTTTTGCAAGCTAGTAACCGATAAAATTGAAGTGTCAGTCTTTTTCTCCCCTAGCTTTTTGGCAAAACTTAGATAGCTGCCGCTGAACTTTTTTTAAAGTAACTTAAAAATTAATCGTGTGGGGCTGATTTTGGTTCTGGAGTCATTGGGAGGACTAAAGGCGAGGAGGGAGAATCAAAATGTTGAGACATACTGAAACCGTTGAAAGAATTCTAAAGTCACGTTAAATCTTGATTTTTAACAACAAAGGGGGGAAAGTAGCCGGCCCTCCTGACTTGGTAAGGGCTGAGAAGGCAGAATGGACGTTTTTCCTTTGAGATTGTATAATCGACGGACTGAGCATTAGCTACCTCTTCAGTGACTGGGCAAAAGTCTTAGCCTAAGTATTATTACCAAAGCAGGCGGGTCAGGGGCTGTCGCCGCAGCTTCCTCCCCGCTCTGGGGCCGGGACGGTGGCCGGGGAGGGG